CAGTCTTTTCTGAAGTCGTGCCGTCAGTCTTGTCCCAAGTCGCGCAGCTTAGGTCTTTTTTTTTCTTAAGTCACGTCGTCAGTCTTCTTTTAAGTCGCGCCATTTAAATCTTTTCTGAAGTCGTGCCGTCAGTGTTGTCCTAAATCGCGCCGCCTTGGTCTTTTCTTAAGTCGCGCAGTAAGTTTTTTCTTGAGTCGCGCCGTCATTTTTATATTAAATTGCGCGCTTTAAGTTATTTCTTAAGTCGGGCCGCAAAAAATTGCGCTGTCAGTCTTTTTCTAAGTCGTGAAGTCAGTCTTTTCTTAAGCCACGCCGTCAGTCGTATCTTAAGTCGCGCAGTCAGTCCTTTCTTAAGTCGTGCCGTCATTCTTTTCTTGATTCACGCCGTCAGTATTTTCTTAAGTCGCGCCGTCAGTCTTTATTTAAGTCGCGCAGCTAATCTTTCTTAAGTTGCGCCGTCAGTATTTTCCTAAGTAGCGCAGTCAGTCTTTTTTGAAGTCGTGCCGTTAGTCTTGTCCTAAGTCGCGCAGCTTAGGTCTTTTTTTAAAGTCACGTCGTCAGTCTTCTTTTAAGTCGCGCCATTTAAATCTTTTCTTAAGTCGCGCCGTCAGTCTTTTCTTAAGCCACGCCGTCATTTTTTTTTCTTAAGACGCGCCGTCAAATTTTTTTAGGTCGCGCCATTTAAAATTTTCGTTAGTCGTGCCGCTTAAGAATTTTCCTAAACCATGCCGTCAGTTTTTTCCTAAATGGCGCCGTCGGTCTTTTCTTAAATTGCGCGGTCAGCCTTTTCATACGCCGTGAAGTCAGTCTTTTCTTAAGTCGCGTTGTCAGTTTTTTGTTGATTCGCGCTGCTTCAGTCTTTTTCACTCCGCGCCCTCAGTCTTTTCTTATCGCGTTGTCAGTTTTTTCTTATGTCGTTACGTCAGTTTTTTTCTTAGGTCGCTCCCCTTAAGTTTTTTCTTATGTCGGTCCGCTCAAGTTCTCTCTTAAGTCACACTGTCAGTCTTATCCTTAGTCGCACCGTCAGTTTTTTCCTAAGTCGCGCCGTCAGTTTTTTTCTTAAGTCGAGCCGTAAGTCTTTCCTTAAGTCGCGCCGTAAGTCTTTTCCTAAGTTGCGCCGGATAAGTCTTTTCTTATGTCGCGCCGTCAGTCTTCTCTTAAGTCGCACCTGCAGTCTTTTCTTAAGTAGCGCCGTTAGTATTTTGTAAGTCGAGACTTCAGTGTTTTTTTATGAGTCGCGCCGACTGTATTTTCTTAAGTCACGCTGTCAGTTTTGTTTAAGTCGCGCAGTATGAATTTTCTTGAGTCGCGTCGTCAGTCTTCTTCTAAGTCGCGTCGATTTAAAATTTTGTTGAGATGCGCCGTCAGTACTTTCTGAAGTCGTGAAGCCAGTCTTTTCTTGATTCACGCCGCTTAGGTATTTTCTTAAGTCGTGCAGTAAGTCTTTTTTTAAGTCACGTCGTTAGTCTTCTCTTAAGTCGCCCCACTTAAATCTTTTTTTTAAGTCACGCCGTCAGTTTACTTTTAAGTCGCACCGTCAATTTTTTTCTAAGGTCGCGCTATTTTAGGTTTTTTTAAGCCATTCTGCTTAAAAATTTTCTTAAGCCACGCCCTCAGTCTTTTCCTGAATCGCGCCGTCGGTCTTTTCCTTAGTCGCATTGTCAGTTTTTTGTTAACTCGCGCTACTTCAGTCTTTTTAAATCTGCGTCCTCAGTCTTTTCTTAAGTCGCGCTGTCAGTACTTTCTTAAGTCGCGCCGTCAGTTTTTTCTTCAGTTGCGCCCCTTAAGTTTTTTCTTAAGTCGGTCCACCTAATTTCTCTCTTAAGCCACGCCGTCAGACTTATCCTAAACCGCGCCGTCAGTCTTTTTTAAAGTCGCGCATTTAATCTTTTCTTAAGTCGCGCCGTCAGTTTTTTTTTAAATTCGCGCCGTAAGTATTTTCTTAAGTCGCGCAACTTAAGTCTTTTCTTTAGTCGCGCCGCTTAAGTCTTTTCGCAAGTTGCGCCGGTTAAGTCTTTTCGTAAATCGCGCCGTCAGTCTTTTCTTAAGTCACGCCGTCATTTTTTTCTTAAGTCGCGCCGTCAAATTTTTTTTAGGTCGCGCCATTTAAAATTTTCGTTAGTCCTGCCGCTTAAGAATTTTCCTAACCATGCCGTCAGTTTTCTCCTAAATTGCGCTGTCAGTGTTTTCATAGGCCGTGAAGTCTGTCTTTTCTTAAGTCGCGTTGTCAGTTTTTTGTTGATTTGCGCTGCTTCAGTCATTTTCACTCCACGCCCTCAGTCTTTTCTTATCGCGTTGTCAGTTTTTTCTTATGTCGTTACGTCAGTTTTTTTCTTAGGTCACGCCGTCAGTCTTATCCTTAGTCGCACCGTCAGTTTTTTCTTAAGTCGCGCCGTCAGTTTTTTTTCTTAAGTCCAGCCGTAAGTCTTTCCTTAAGTCGCGCCGTAAGTCTTTTCTTAAGTCGTGCCACTTAAGTCTATTCTTTAGTCGCGCCGCTTAAGTCTTTTCGCAAGTTGCGCCGGTTAAATCTTTTCTTAAATCGCGCCGTCTGTTTTTTCTTAAGTCGCAGCGTCAATTCTTGGAAGGTCGCACCGCTTAGATCTTTTCTTATTCCCCGCCCTCAGTCTTTTCTTCAGTCGCGCCGTCAGTATTTTTTTAGGTCAAACCGTCAATCTTTTCTTAAGTCGTGCCGCCTAAGTCTGATCTTAAATTGCGCCGTCAGTGTTTTCTTAAATCACGTCGTCAGTCTTTTCTTTTCCAGCCGTCGCGTTGTTTTTTTTGTTAACTCGTTCTGCGTAAATCTTTTCTTAATGCGCGCCCTCAGTCTTTTTTTTTAAGTCGCGCCGTCTGTCTTTTCTTAATTTGCGCCGTCTGTATTTTCTTAATTTGCGCCATCAGTCTTTGCTTAGGTCTTGCCGTCAGTTTTTTTGTTAAGTCGCGCAGTTAGTATTTTTTTAAGTCGCGCCGTCAGTCTTTTATTAAGTTGCTCTCAGTATTTTCTTAAGTTGCTCTCAGTATTTTCTTAAGTCGCGCCGTCAGTCTATTTTTAAGTCGCGCCGCTTAGGTTTTTGTTATGTCGCGCAGTAAGTTTTTTCTACAGTCGCATTGTCAGTCTTCTCTCAAGTTGCACCGCTTAAATTTTTTCGTAAGTCGCGCCGTCAGTTTTTTCTTAAATCACGCCTTCCAGTTTTTACCTAAGTCGCCCCGTCAGTCTTTTCTTAAATCGCGCTGCTTAGGTCGTTTCTTAAGTCGAGCCGTCAGTCTTTTTTTAAGTCGCACCGTTAAAATCTTTTCTTAAGCCGCGCCGCTTAAATCTTTTCTTAATCCGCGCGGTCAGTCTTTTCCGATGTCGTGCTGTTAGTCTTTTCTAATTTCGCGCCGTCAGATTTCTCTTAAGTCGCGCCACCAGTCATTTTTTAAGTCGCGCCGTCAGTCTTTTCCTAAGTCGCGCCGCCAGATTTTTCTCAAGTCGCGCCATCAGTCATTTCATTTCTTATGTCGCGCCGTCAGTCTTTTCTTCAGTCGCGCCGCTTAGGTCTTTTATTGAGTCGCGTCATTAGTTTTTTCTTGAGTCGCGCCATCAGACTTTTCTTAATTCGCGCCGTTAGTCTGTTCTTAAGCCGCGCCGTCAGTCTTCTCTTAAGTCGCGCCACCAGTCTTTTCTTAAGTGACGCCGTCAGTCTTTTCTTAAGTCGCGCCGCCAGATTTTTCTCAAATCGCGCCATCAGTCATTTCATTTCTTATGTCGCGCCGTCAGTCTTTTCTTCAGTCGCGCCGCTTAGGTCTTTTATTGAGTCGCGCCATCAGTCATTTCATTTCTTATGTCGCGCCGTCAGTCTTTTCTTCAGTCGCGCCGCTTAGGTATTTTTTTAAGTCGCGCCGTCAGTCTGTTCTGAAGTGGCCAATTTGTTTTGTTTTGCCAAGTCGTGGTATATCGAAAAATGTGTTTGTGGGATTTGTTTTTACATTTTGCATCTTAGTTGTTGTGCTTATCCATCGGAAGTGCTTAGATTCGTATGTTGGTCCTATCCCTCGTGGATAAATGATCTTAAATCTTAAATCTTAAAATCTTAGATTGGTACATAGCTCGCGATTTTTTTATTTTGTAGGAGTTCCTCTTTAGTCTGCTAACATTGTTCGATAACAGAAAAGTTGAAAACCTATCAAGCCAGCAACCTACATCGGCTCGACCTCCATACACGAAGAATGTTTGTCATACAATTCCATTCAAAAAAAATGCAAGGAAAAAATATTGTTATGCAATTTCCCCTGGTCGAGGTCCTAAACTCATATCCAGACTTTGAAAGTAGCGTCGCACACGGATCAACATCCAAATTGCATAGTCCGAGCACTTGAGTCTGGAAAGTCTGAGCATGAGTCGCGCCGTGGGTGGCGAAAGTCTGGACATACCAAAATTTGGTAGCGAGTCTAGACATGGGCCGCGAAAGTCAAGAATTGTCAAATTTTGGTCGCGATAAACTAAACATGGGTCGGGAACGTCTGGAAAACATGTGTAGACTTTCCAGACACGCTCACTCGACTCGACTTTGCAATTTGGTTCTGGATCCGACGCAACTTTGCGACCCACGGTCCGACTGTCCAACTCAGATTTTCGAGGAAACTATGCATATTAGTTGTAGATCCGGCGTATTTTATTACGTATATGATAATTGTAAGATAAAAAAAATTTTCATACCTACATTTTATTGCTAATTTTTCTGCCTTAAGGCTTTAGTTTAAATAAAACCATTTTAATTTAAAGAAACTGCATTATAATAAGTTTTTGATCAACCTGGTTCCTCTCAAAAATAAATTGCAATTTCAGTCAAGTTCTACCACCAATAGAATATGCTTTCTTACTTGGTACTTCATGACGCTCAAACAACGGGATTTACCCATTAAACTTACGATGAATTTTCTGTCCTCCCATTTCTCCCTACTTCCCTAAACTCATTTGCTTAGTTATAAACCTTAGTAAAAAAAAAACAAAGAACTTCGAGGTCTCGTACAAACTGTACGTTCCAATGATCACTATTCTGGGAATACCTGCTCTGGTGCTGGTGGCCGCAATGACCGCGAGACTCATCTACAACCTCTCTCCTGTGAAACGCACTACTGCACCGAATCTTGGCCGGCGAGCAACTGACCCAAACTCACAAAGAGTAAGCAAAAATCTCAGGCTTTGGAAGAGAGTAAGGAATATCTATGAAAGGGGACTATTTTTTATTGAGACCAGTTTTGACATTAGCAGTTGCCCTTTGGCACTATTTTACAACGCCCAGTTTTGAGACCAACCTCAGTTTTAGTATAATTTTTCTTAGCTTCAAATTTTTCTAAAACGCTTTTGATTAAAACGGCTTTTTGGTTTGTTCCTTCACTAAATAGCAGTTTTAAAGCAGCTAGGGACTTTATAGAGCTTCAGGAGGGCGCGGAAAAATCAAGTTGGTGTAATTTTAAACCCTAAACTTATCTAAAATATCGACTAATTGGGACCAAGCTAGACAACAGTTCTAACATGGACCATTTTTGATAACACTAATGTCGTTTAAATATTGCCAATTTAGCAATTTTGTGGGCAGATAGAAAGCGCATAGAAAGCGATCTCTGTGTTTGTGAAAAGGTAATGCAAATGGCTTATGCGCGGCGAATTTTTGTGCACTCATTGTTGTTCCAAATCAAACAATTATTCCGAAATAAAAAATTTTTCTTCAGAAATAAGAAAAAATAAACTAATAACAAGGTTAATCAGTTTAATTTTGAGAAAAAATTTATTGATATTTTGATAGATTTATATATAAATATTTTAGGGTTTTTAGCCCTGCTTGTGATGTTCCTGCTTTGTACTGATTTATGGAGTGTAGAAGCCAAAAAGTGAGTTTAACTCCGCAGTGGTTCTCTTATAAAAAAATTTCGGAAAAGGTACACCGTCTGTTTGTCACGCTAACTTATTTTTGGCCGGATAGATTCGTGCAACTTCTCAGTCTAATACCAATCCCAATCCTAATCTTATAACTCCTAGTCTCAATAGATCTATTATATACTGATTTTTTGCGAGGTTAGAGGAGAGGAAGAGTAACTGCTTTCTAGGTTACTTTTTTTCTCTGGCTGAAACCATAAATAGTTTCAGCCTTGCAAATTATTTCAAGTTTTAGTCGCGATCAAGATTGGTTAGTTCTAAGTATTTTACAGTCATAGTTAACGAAAAAATAATTAAGATAAATCTTATTTTGAACTGGTCCACTCATCCGGGGCTTAGGAAGATTTTTAAGGCTTAAGTTGATTTGAGTGAGAGATGAATTGAGTGAATTCTAATTTCTTTTTTGAAAAGATTCTTTGAGGAGAGGGAATAGAGAAGAGTAGCAATTGCTCGTTTTTGTGAAATAGTTGTTATCGTCGAAGGAGTCGAGATTTGCGAGTACTGTAGTGAGTTGAATGATCGTGTCGAGGATGCACAATTGATGTAGTGATGTGTCGATTTCATTAGGTAGAGAGAAAGATTACGTGAATTCTCAACTATTTATCAAATATTGAGATAGGGTTTGACTTCACGGAGTGAAGCGCCAAATAATTAGAATACGTATTTCTGAGTTCAATATTTAGTTGGCCATTAAACATATAGATATGCACCTTTCAGTAATTTCAGTTTTAGTTGTGATCCTTTGTTAGTTTTTTACCCAAAGCGTTCCAATTAGTTCGGTTATTTTAAATATTTCCTCACAATACAGTTTCACTTAGTAAAAGTTTTGTCGATGTAGGGGTCCAAACATGTAGCTGGTAGAGGTTAGAGGAGAAATTTTTTTTGTGTTTTTCTTTGAGAAGAGTCTCTATTAATGTATAACTTTTCTCAAAAATGAATTAATTTTAACTTGTGTTTTTTTTTGGTTTTATAAGCGTTTTATTTGGTCTTACTAACATCTTGAATTAGGGTTCAAAAGAATTTCTTATCCAGTTTAATTGGGTACCGTGAGACTTTCCTGTACATATGGATTACTGCACATAGTAAACTGCGATGGTTCTTTAAATTTAGCTTTACTTCCTTCTTCTTACCGGGTAGAGGGAAAGTTTTGAAACGTTTGAAAGCGAGTCAAAGTTGTTATCAGTTAGTTTTTTAGACTACAATTTCATTTATTCTCGAACACGGTATTGGCGAGTTACGCTGAATTGTGTGTAAAGAGTGCGTGAAATGTGGGCCAAACAGCAAAATCGAAAAATAGAAAAGAACGCACACATAAAAAAGGTAATATCGTATAATAGTTTTTACTCATTTTTAAACAATTGCTTTGTGAAAAGCATTTTTGATTGAATGTGTTAAAAAGAAAATTGTATGATTTTTTTTTGCTTTTTTTCGATTTGTTATTGATTTCACAGAAGTTACTTGTGAAGTTCAAAAGGTAATGGTTAAACACACGTAGAAAAATGGTGAGTTAAATATTAAAAACTAATTAGTGAGGTATAAAACTGCATTATTACTGTGTGTCGGGTTCCAAAAAAAAGTCCAATTGTGAGTGAGTGAGTGTATTACAAGTTTTGCAAGCTTTTGAACGACAGTTTTAGTACGTTAAAAAAGCCATCGTAGATCTGGTGCGCGGATCACGCTGACTTCTTCAGGAGTGGTTAAAAATTCAAGGTTGCTATTCTGTATTAGGATATAAAACTTTTGATTGAATTTAGTGTTGTGAATGTTCATCAAAAGGCGTTTTTCTTTTATCAACGATTGAGTGATCAAATTTGACGGATCATCGTGGGCTAAAAAGATGATCGTTCTGAGAACGAAAAACTTTTTTGTGTTTTTTAGACTTTTTTGTCTATTTGAGATTTTTGTTAATAGATGCGGAAAGCATTCCAAAAAAATCCTGTAAAAATACTGTTGCTACCTGAGCTGGTCTTTTGACTTGTGTGCGGATTGCAAATGTGCTACATATTCCCCCCAGAAATGAGAATGAAAATCCTATGAAACTAAATTACGTAAAACACAGTCAATCTTTCTAGGATCTAATGGAGCCATTCTAAAAATGCTATTAATTCATTTTTTTATGTGCAAAAACTCAATATAATAATTGGTGAGACAACTTGTGGGTGGATTTTTTTTCCGTTGAGATAAATTCAATCTTTAAATTTTTTTAAATGTCCCCTGTTATCGTATTTTTAGAATTGTGTGTATACGGCTGTTCTGCAAGTGTTCTAAGATTTTGGTCTATAGGTTGTTTTTGGATTGTGTCTATTTTTTTAAAATTCTTAAAAATGTTGTGTAAATATGTGATGTTTTATATCTGACATAGAGAATAGGCCTATGGGTTGGAAACTTATATTGGAGTTTCGAGTAATTGCACGTTTGTTTTCAGGTGAAAATTTCTTTGAAGGAGGTATTAAGGTGGGGTATGGTGTGAGAAAAATTATTCATCTTTGCTGGGATTAAATTATACTACGTTGTGGCATTATTCTGAACAGCAGGGTACGACGGTATCCCAAAAAAAGGTACGTCGTGTCGACAGAAAGATTTTAATTTTTGTAAAACATAAGTGTTTTTTTTATAAAATCTTTTATCTTCAAGTACGTAAATGGTGAGACTTTTTAGTGCATGTATAGTAAAAAAAGAAGATGTTTCCTTTGTTATCAAAAACAGTTGAGTGGTTGATTGAGAGTAGGTATCCTGCATAATGTGTTTTCAAATCTGCTAAGGCTAAGGGTTGTAATATTTGTGTTCCTTCTAGCTGCATAGAACGGCCCATCGTATTCGTATTTTTAGATATGTGTGTAACCGGCTGTTTCTGCAAATGTTTAAGATTTTGGTCAATAGATTGTTTTTGGATTGTGTCCATTTTTTAAAAGTTCTTGAAAATATTGGCATTTCTTAAAAAATTCCTCTGATATTATAATCGAGTTTGATATCAAGATCAATGTCAAAATGGAATGCGCCAGAATTTGTATTATTCATTAGTAATATATTCTGAGGTCGCGTACCGTCACAATTTTCTGTTTTAACTTTGAGTGGTTATGAGAATAATGAGTTTTCCTCTTTTCAAATGAAATCTTCTTTGATATTCGACTTATTTTCTGATTACTGAGTTCCAAAAGGTGGTTTTCAAAACTTGCATGCTAATTCTCTTTCAGGGTATATTTTAAAACGTGCTATAATATTATCGACACATTGTATGTTTCCATATGGATTTCTATCTGATTTTCTTCAAAAAAGTTGAAATGGTTCAACTTGTAAAAACTTTAAGAAATAATTTTGTGAAACAGTTTTAGTGGTATGAAAAGTGGTTGTTTTAGGCTTATTGACCTTATTAATTTTTGCTTAAGGTTTATTTACTTATTTTCTTCTGGGGTTTCTGGTGTCTGATTTTGTTCAATATTGTTGATTTGGGTACTGATTGATAGGAGGGGATTGTAACTATCATCAGGTAAATATTTAAGTTGTCAATTACAAGGGTATTGCTTATTTTTGACTGGAATGTCTTGAAGTGAAAATTATTGTCTTAGTTCAAGTTGTAGTTATGTCGGATAACAATAGCAGTGATGTTGAACAAGGAATGGGATTTTCTCAACTTATTCTAATGTATGTTTTTTCGTTTATTCCGGGTATTGGAATTTTGTTTTGCAACTCTCTCTGTGTTCTTTGTGTAGTGGTGGTGTCTTTAGAGAGTTTTTCTGAGATACTTTTAATTGTTTTTAAATGATTGCGGTAACATTTTTTGGGAATGTCAGGTTTTTTATCCTTGTTTATTAGAGACGTTTCAACAATGTGGAGTCCGGAAAAGGAGTATAAATGTTTTAGCTCGCGGAGTGCTTTTTTGGATAAAATGGTAGCACGAAAATTCTGTGTTGTGTAATTTCTTTTTTGTTTGAATCAATTAGTTTGTATAATTTATCTGTAGGCTTATCAATAAATTGATATGGTCATTTTTTGATAGGTTTTTTTTCTCTGAAATACTTTTCTGTATTATAAAATTCGGAATTATTACAAAAGCTCTTGTTTTTAAACCGAAAGCTGGTGTAAAGCGTGATTTTTTTTTGAGAATCAGATGTCTGTCTTCCTAAAAGTTTCAATGCAATTTTCAGATAAATTTCATTTTTTATTTTTGTTTCTGTTCAAATTTCATTCTGTATGAGTACCGGATGCTATTTTCAAGGTTTGTGGATGATGAAAATGATATCAAAA